ATCTGAACAAGTTTCAGAAACCAAAAGGGGGAACTCACTTTTGACTATAATACCTATGGTAAGACATCTGCATACTAATTGTCGTCTTCCTGTAATAGTGTTTGACTATATAACGTATATCATGTATAAAAAGTATACTTAATATTTATATATATTTTCAGTTTATTTAATAGAAAAACTTTCTTTTTTTTAGATATTATATTATATTCATTGCTATGAGCAAATATATATGCATTCAATCCAAACCGTACCAGATCTCGATGATGTCCCATGAAAGTGGGATGTATTTCGAAAATCAGGGATCATTGCGGTTGACAAATTCGGATTGGAAATTTTTAATATATATTAAGTTAAATAACTTTAATTAAAGAACTATAAATACTGTGGAATTTTATAATAAAACATTAGGGCTTTGTAATAAACTAATAAACGCCTATAGCGCGAAATTCGAAAACGATTGCAATAACTTCTGTTTAGTTTCTAACTCGCTGGAAAAAGAAATTTTTAGGAAACGATTTTTTATGTTGCAGTCAATTGACGATTCTGAAGTAAATCCAAAGATAAAAAAGGTTTAATTAATATAGTAGGGAATATTCAGAATTAATTTGGTACATTAGATAATACGGACGCAGAATTATACAATAAACAAATTGAGAAACTGCAAACCAGTAATACTAACATATTAAGGATAATAAAAAAGCAAACTAGTATATTATAAGTAGGCAACTGAAAATACCTTTAGGGAAGCTCGTAAAATGCAGGAGCAAATAAATACATTAAAGCTTTTGTATGACCAATTAGTAATCCATGTTAGCGAAACATTTGTAGATTATGATATAACCGAAGCGCGATCCAACATAAACAGTCAATTATCATTACTAACGCTATTATTCCAACAGCTAATATTTGAAACAGACACCATATGTGATATAATAATGGCCGCTGAAGGAGAAATTATACACTCCAGCATAATCTCCGTGACCGATTTACGTAAACAATTAAAAGATATATCTTTAAATTTACCGCGGGAACAAAAATTACCGTTTGATTTGAACTACATATCACATTATGAACTGAGTAAAATGTCTAGGTTAAATATAGTATATTCAAATGAAATGCTGATATTCGTAACAATCATTCCTTTAATAAATCCAATAGAGTTAACATTATATTATGTAATACCATTACCTGTTAGAAAAAATGATCATTTTATGTATATAGTACCTGAACTCAACTAAATGGCCATTTCTAAAACTCATGGGTACTATTTAACACTATCGTCACATCAAATAGCAAAATGTAGAGAGTTAGCAACAGGAACTTTGTGTCCGGAAACCCAACCCTTAAGGTTAGGAACAACTGAGGTTCCTTGTGAGACAGAGTTATTCATAAAACCAACTAGTATGCCAGCCACATGCTCAACTAGGTATTTAGACATAACCAGAAGTGTGTATCACAAGCTTAAATATCATAATACTTGGATATTTATTATAAAATCTATGGATAATTTGGCAATATCATGTGAAGATAGAGACCAAACCATAAATACTCAGTTAACAGGGATAGGAGCAATAACTTTAGCCGAAACATGCAGGGCATATACACCCCAGATGGTACTAACACCTAATAGGCATTTAAATTCATTTAATTATGTGGACTTTATTCCAGAGACGGAATTAGTAACAAATTTAACAATCCCCAATTTTACAAAGAAACAATTAAAAAAGGTAATAACGCATATTAAACCCATAATAAAATTAAATGATATGGGGGATTATTCAAAATCACTAAGTGAATTAGATTTAATGATAGCAGAGGAAACAAATCGAAATAAATTAGAAAACAAGAGTGATTTGCATACATATTTGTTCATAATTATAGTGGTAATAGCGATAACATACGTGGGTGTAAAGATAATAAAAAAACAGAAAAATAAACGGACATTACATATTTTAAAGTGCAGTATAATGGTACCTCGAAACTCACCAAACGTAGAAATGATAAATATATAACCATATATTCTAGCTATTAGATCGTATCATGACGTGTGTAGTAGAATTAAAACTTGCACACCAGAAGTGCAGAATTTAATATATGTTTACTAACATTAGAAAATAAGGAACATTTTTGTAATAAATAAGTACTACATATTATATAATTGTATATCAGTATATTTTGTAAATATAGCAAACAGTGGTAGCAGGTATGGAGGTTTTTCCAATCGTTAAATCCTCATTTTGTTGGGGAGGTGTTGTAAGTACGTGGATTTGATATGCACGGCGCGGATGGGCATTGTCCGATTTCACTGAGTCCTCTGTAATTAGAAATTCAGGGCACACATCCTCCAAAGATGTGTACAATATTACTAATGTGTGATAATAAGTTGACGCATGATGCCACGTAGGGCAATTAAGACCATGGTCACACGTACTACCACCAGAACGAGGACAACTTTCTGTACATCCTATTACTGTTTGATATATAAGTCAGAAGACGTAAAGACTTCTTCACTTGTATTCCGACACACACAATGTGCAAGTCGCCGGCAAGTCCTTAGTCTTCATTTACTCTCTATGTTAAAATATATGTATGTACTGTAATTGTGTAAATTAAATAACTTTGCTTATACATCTGGACTCTTATTTAATCAATCTTTAAACGACCACCTCCACATATGTACTGACAAGTTACCCGGTTCGCAACAGAAATATTATGTTATAACAAAAAATCAAAACAGCTATAACTATCTAATATATTGAGATGGCTTTTAATAATGTTTATTTATATCTACATTTACCCAATTATTATTATTATTTACCCTATTTGAACATTTCATAAACCAGACTTTATTATATTCATATCTCTTATCTTACCTGCCTACATTATAATCTTAGAATGATAAATATTACTTTTGCGTAGCTATATATCTAATATATATCCCAGATAGCAATTGTGTGATGATAATAATATAATATTATTATTATTACAGTACATAGATAATATTATATAAAATATGTTATTGTAATAACATAATTATTTTATTAATATAATATCGTTTCAGTAATTCAATAATAATATTTTTGGTAAAATTAGTTAATAATAATATTTGAATGTTTTCAACATACGGTATTATATTAATACTATTTAATTCCCAGATAGCAATTGTGTAATGATAATAATATAATATTATTATGTTTGCTTTACAAAAAATATTATTACAAAAATAATATTATATTTATATTATAATTGCGTAATTTACATAATATTTTTTTAGTAATTTATTAATACTATTATTTTAATATTTTTTATATACAGAATTTATAACGTTATTTAAAAAATATTATTACTAAGTTACTACTGTATAACTAATATAATATTTTTACTGTAATTTATTAATAATAATATTTTAATATTTTTAATATAGGTACAGTATTATTAATAATTTTTTTTAATATACCATACCGTAGTATAATAATGAGAGTATAACATTTTTGTTTATAATACAACCAATAAATTATCTTCCAACAAATATCATCTGTTTATTCGGTTTCGATTTAGGTTTCTAATAAAATCAAAAAAGGGTCTCGGTAATAATAAGGTTCCGGTTAAAATACCGGAATTTTTAATTTTGGTTCCAAACTCTGTACCTTATTATTATTAGTGTAATGAGTAAGCCTATTTGCGTCATCGCTTTACATCACGCCACAAGACGTCAGCATCACGCTATACTGCGTGATTCAATCAAAGGCTCTCTTGATCATCACGCCACTTTTGTACCAGGCTCTGTGGCGCAAGTGGGCTCCTATATAACACACCTGCTCACTAAGCTCTGGGAGTCAATCTGATTACATAGTTACAGAAGGAACTTGCCTGTGTTAATGTTAATACTAGTCGTGACCGACTAGACTCCTGTACAGTTTTCCCTTATGTCAATATTCATAGTTACAGTGTGTTTGTCTATTTAATAAAATAAGTTATATAAACTTGTTAATATAATCTTCTAAGTGTTGTTTTCTTACTTCTCCATCACTACCCGTCGTAATCCCCTTTGGGTGCACGACATTAGCTATAATCAATATATATTTATATTTATATAATAGAGTTGAAAAATAAGCAATAATATAAGCCTATACCTATAAACACTCTATAAATCTGAAGGAATCTGCAGTTAATATAACATTACTTTTATTGAAAATGGTCCAGTATAGTTTTTAAGTCTATCAATCTATTTACTTTTTGTATTTTTGTTGTATACTGATTGTAAATCTTTTTTTTAAGTATAAATTAATAGAATGGTCTACTCATTTGGAATAAACTGTACGTGTTAGTGTGATACTATACGTTCTGTAGATAATTGTAACATATTTAGGTACTTTTAAGTTTTTAGCTGTGAAAAATATGGATAAAGTACGCTGTGTTAGGTTAGTATGAAAAATATCTGCATGGTTAAAAGATTCGTAAATCCAATTTTCGTATAATGGCTACACATGTACAAAATACCAAATTAAGTTCGTATAATATACGAATATTAAATAATTATAATATAATATAATGCGTAGTGCCGTAAATGCTTACGAACGATTGTATATTATGGACGAAGAATAATAACATTCATAAGTTGTACGAAATATATTTTGCACGCCTGCGTCCGGCGATCAACTTTGTACCTACATTTTACAGTACAAATTCAAAGTTCCGAGACAATTCGTGATTTGTTGATGTGTTATCAGTATAAACTAATAACTAAAAATAAATAGGTAAGTACTAGGTAAGTTAAGTATTATGACATTATGTAATAAATAATAATATGTACGAAATACGAATTACGTATTGGATAATAAATAATATTAATATCATCAGTGTCTCCTCAATTTCACTATTTCACAGTCTCGCGAACGTACGCGCGTTTTTCGATAACTGATATAACCATTGTTAAGTTTATATACACTATACGCCATACTACGTCAACCTATAATAATAATTTTTTTTT